AATACTTTTGCCTAATGCTTATAGCATAAACATGTTTATTTGTCTACCAAGTCTAACAAAAATAACCATATAGCCATACTTTAAAAAATGCCAATTAGATGCATTGCATGCTATCGTGCTAAAGTACCCGTCCTGCACTCTGCTAATATTAACATGTTCTTCATGTCTTTTTCTTCCAGCGTTTGGTCGTCTCACATTCGTAAATTTTTCACCAGTCGTTCAGAGCACCGATGAAACTCATCTTTATTGTCTGGACACCAAAAGACTTATTCCGTTATCCAATCTCACTATTGAGCGTGCTCTAGATACCGGAAACGGGGATGGCCTGCCCTCACCGGCGATTATCAGCAATAATAAACTAAAAACAAATTGGGGACGTGAAACTGGCGACGGAAGATTTGGCGTGTTCCGCTGCAGTGGCGGGGCGCCTGAAGACACCGTGGTGACAATGAAGATGTTCAGGTCAGGTATGCTGATTCAACATTGAATAAAACACGCCCTCTATGTGTAAAAACAAACGAAATATAACATTTAACTAATGGCGATCCTGTTAAAGTTGATTTTCATCTCTCAATATTATTAATTTTCAGACATCGCGGTTTTGGAGCCGCAATATTTATCTATAACCGTCAGTGTGGGAGATTCACTAGACATTAAAATGACGAAAACGCAACCAATAGCATCCAACAATCCAATCAAGTGGCGTCTTAACGGAATTCCATTCGATTTTCCGAGTCCCAGTGCCGGCTTAGAGAATCCAGGGGACGTCGATAACTATGTTTACCACGTGGATCATGTTTCGTCGTATGAGGGCGGTATTTATGAGGCGCACCCCTTAGATAACCGTTCACACGGTGCTTTGACGAGAGTGGTCGTAAGAGGTGAGTACCACGATTATGTATGCCAGTTTATAAGTTCCCCAGCAGTCTTTTCAAGAACTACCAATGCAATACAATTATGATATTTTCTGACGGTGCTGCTAATGTGGTTTATATGTTAATATGCCGCACACACGGATTGGTACAAACGGTAGATACAAAAAGTATGTTAGAATTGGTTCCGTTGCTGTACACACCTTTCTTACAAATAGCGCCCGCTAGCGACAAAGCGAGTCTGTGACGAAAATAGATTACAGGAAGTCGTTAAAAATGCAATGAAAATTATGATTATGAAGACAAATCCACAAACATAGTTTCCGGTTTGAATTGCATTGTTTTTACCAATATGCGTCCCGTCACTGGAGGGCGCAACTATTGTGTGTGTATTGTGGATTGCGTTCCCTTTAACAATAGTTAATATTTTATCTACGATTTTTTTTCTCAGCGTGTCAGGCTGGCAGTTGGAATCCACCGAATTGCGATAGAACATGCCCCCAGTGTAACAATGGGGGCGTGTGTCACGACACGGCCGGGAAATGTGTGTGTCCTCCGGGATTCATGGGACCGACATGCAGCACAGGTAAAACGCATACTGTAATGTTCATATAATGTCATGATGACATAGCGCCCTCTGTAGTTCAAATGTACTTTAATTGGAATATCATGTATCAGGGTCAGAGGTGAAATAAAGTAGTTCTACACCGGTAATCAGTGTCGTCTGGTTGCATTTCTTTTGTACTCAAATCCTACGCATACAATGTTTATTGTTGTCCGTGGTAGATTCAAATGTTCAGTGTTTTCTGTGCTTCCTATTGCCTGTGAGGAAAATCTTGAGTCACATATTTAAAGCATTTATTATACAATAGGACATCATGTATTGCCCCCACAGAACGCGATGATTTCGGCACGTATTCGCTCATAGTATTTGTAAAACCTTAGTTCTCACAAAGAAATAATGTCTTTGTTTCCAATAAAGACGATTACACAATCGTTATGATAGACGTCTACTCATAAATAAAAATATAATATAAAGATATTTTGGGGTCATCAGCCTAAATTTTCGAGGAAATTCTTTCTGTATTTCAGTTGATAGCGGCCATTTTGTATTAATACGCTTTCACCATAAGTTCCTATGGCAGAGATATTATGCCATATCTCAAATCGTAGGCTGGTGACGTAGGCTCTTTGTTGTCCTAAAGTATCTACCTACAAAAAAGACTATGTGCTTCAATTTACACTGCGCCTGTCATGACCCACGTCGTGACCGGAAGTACGTTACTGCGCCCTCACCGATGGACGGACCTTAGTTCAAATTCTAATATTACATACTTCGCATTGATTGCAGAATGTGGCGCCAACAAATATGGAGAACAATGTGACCTCGAATGCGACGCTGACGGGTGTCGGAAATACCAGTTTTGCTTACCCGATCCCTACGGATGCAGCTGCGCAACAGGTTGGAAGGGTATTCAGTGCGACCAGCGTAAGTAAGCCACAGTCACTGGGGGCTGAAAATCAATAAATACTATTTTTTTTAAAAAAGTCATCCGCTATACGCATATAAATTTAAATGCGTATAGCGGATGACATTTAAAAAAAGTAGTATTTAGTGATTTTCAGACCCAAAGTGACTGTGAAGTAAGCCTATGAATACGTTCCTTCCTGAAAGTGTTATATTCCCCAACCCATCGTACGGGGAGCAATGAAAGGACTCTGGTGTATTTTATAATTGTACTTGTGTTGATTCATCTTTACAGCATGCGAGTTGGGCACGTATGGTCCTGACTGCAAACTGTCGTGCCAGTGCCAGAATGGCGGAAGCTGTGACCGATATCGAGGCTGTGAATGTGTTGGTGGTTGGTCTGGCCCAACGTGCGAATCACAAGGTACGTGACTTGAACATATGAATACATACGCTGTACATTGAACCACGCCTTTTCCTTTCAAATTGATTTGCGGGTTGTAGGGTTGGTGGTGATCATGTTGTCGACATATAATTTTCGTATTATTTAATCTCCTTTTATTGATCATGTTTACTCAAGGCCAGGAACTTTGGTTTTTATTTGTTTTATGACAGTTAGTGTGTAGCAAGCCGTCTTCAAAGTATATCACCAGCAATACAGGACCACTGTGGGCCTGCAGATTTTATATATTAACTGTAATCGTCTGTGAATCACCACAAACATGTCAATATTCTAATAACTTTCTCTCTGTTTCAGAACTTTATGCTCCTAACGCTTTAAACCCACCGGCGTTAAAAGAAGCCGGAACCACCAGCCTACGAATTGACCCGTTCGTAGAGCCCTACTCCGGAGACGGACCCATTACAAATGTTGTACTGTGGTACAAGAAAACAACAGTGAACTCATGGTCGGATATATCCATTCCCGACACTGACTACGACGATTTTACCCTGGGAGGGCTAGAGAGTGACACAGAGTATCAGTTAAAGATTCGACTGACAGGACCCACGTTGCTTGGACGTCCTGGTCCAATTCTCCGTGCAAAAACAAGCTGCCAAGGTAGGAATACGTGCACCACATAACC